GTTTGTTACTCCCTGACCTTTGACCTCTGTTCCGTTCTTCTTCTACTGTGTCTGGTTACAGTTTGGCCTCGGTTTGCTTTCAGGCTGTTGGACTCACCTGCACGAGTGTCAAGCCGACCGCTGTATCCTGGTAACAGAGAAGCCGTCCTCCACGCAGAAAGGCAGCTATCGCTTCTGCTGCTGCAGCCACGACCTCTGCAATGCCAACTACACAGAGGCCCCGCCCACCGCCGACACACCCGCTCTGAAACCAATGAGGACTGATGGCCGGGCGGAACAGACAGGTGAGAAGCACTGACACCAATCAGTGGTTCCCGCTCCATAATAACTCATCATGTGACCCAGCAGTGTAACCGTTAGCAACGCTTCCACTGAGCAGCAGCAAGAAGAGACAAAAGATAAAGCATCTATTTATTCTATTTCACTATGACGCTGCTGTTTGTTGGAAGCTAACTTCCTGTTAGCCTCTCTTAGCAGCGAACTCATCATTAGTCCCTCTTTGTCAAACTGACCTCAGAGTGCAGGTCCTCACAAAGACAGAAGTACAAACATGTGTGTCGCACTGATGTGATGATGACATCATAACCCCTCAGATCACCGGCTGAAGCCAGAGGTGACGGTGCTCATCGCCTTGGTAACCATTGCCATAGCAGCCATCCTCATTGTGGCGCTGTTCCTGGGATACCGCATAATAAAACGTACGTACGCACACACACACACACGTATATACACACCTACACACACACATGCACACAGTTTAGTGTTTTGTGAAGAAACAAATGAGGAAGTCATGTGATGAGTTTTTCAGATTAAAGCAGGATCGATGGATTTGCATGAAAACGTTAGCAGAGCTGCTCACAGGCTCACAGCTGGATCTGAACTGAAACACACTGAAGGAAGAGACCATGTGACACGACGTTTCTCAGCAAACCTCACACAGTGAGGGTCAGATACTCTGAAAGGTCCGGGAACTTAAGTTCTTATGACGTGTGGAGGGAATTTTCCAGCTGGGCGGAGGTTTGTCGTCTCAGAGTAATCTTTAGAGCACAATAGCCTGAACGTCCTGTGCTCTTTTTAAACAGTCGCTGTAAACAGGAAGTGCCCTCTGAGCGATCAGCTGATTTGTTTTAGTGTGTGGAGGTTTGAAGTCCTCGGGAGGTGGCGCTAGCTCACAACTGTGGTTTTTGTAATCAAAGGAAACTCGCCCATCTGACGACCTCTGACAGTAATTCACACGTGAAATTAGTCACGTGATAAGAGCTGCAGTGACATCTGTGCTTTGTGTTTTGTTGATTGTGGATTTTGACACTAATTATAACAAATACATAAAAATCAATGTTAACTCACTTCTAACCTGGCTGCTGTCCGGCAGCCATGTTGGTCCTCGCAAGACTGAGGTCATGTGATCAGTGATCAGCTGTGTGTGTTTGTGCAGGGAAGCAGAAACACAGTCTGTCTGTTGTGGATGTGATGGAGGCGGCGAACGCAGAGTCCTCCATCGACCTCGACAACCTGAAACTGCTGGAGGTACACACACGCACACACA